CCGGTGGGCGGGGTTGTGGATGGTGCTGATGTTGGAGCCGGAGATGCTCAGAGCGGCGGAGAGGAGCGGAGACCCCCCGGGATCTCTTCCAGCCCCGGACACACCATGTGGATACAGCTGATGTGTGCGGCGTGTTGCTGCTGGGGGCTCCTAGGGGCAGGTAGGTCCATTATCAACCCCCATTAGCTCCCGACTACTGACCCGCCACCAGACTATTGCCCCCATCAGCACCCGACTACTAGCCCGATCAGCTCTGCTGTTACACCAAACTCCCCGGGCGGCAAATAGCTACGAAGCCCCAAATGACTGGGACCCAATTTGTGCTCTGACACCTCTCTCCCCATCTCCTCTGGATTCCTCCTCATTCCATACCCCATTTCTCCTCTCTGTGCCCCATCCTTATGTCTGGGTACCTCCATCTATCCCGTGTACCCCATCATTTTTCTGCACGCACCCCTTTCTCTCTCCATGGCTTTATCTCTTTTTTTTTCACTGTACCCCCATTTCTCACATGTCTGCCGATCTAGTTTTTCACATCACCTAATGTTATCCAATCTCCTTCCCTTGTACTTCTTCCCTATTTCCCATCTCTTCTCTGTACCCCAAGCTCTCCTCCATCCCTGTACCCCAAGCTCTCCTCCCTCCCTGTACCCCAATCTCTCCTCCCTCCCTGTACCCCAAGCTCTCCTCCCTCCCTGTACCCCAATCTCTCCTCCCTCCCTGTACCCCAATCTCTCCTCCCTCCCTGTACCTAAACTCGTTTCACTCTGTATCCCCATATTTCCTTTTCCCCCAGATCCTCTCCTTCTGTACCCCAACTTTTCTCTATCATGTTTTGTCTCTCTGTACTCCATCTTAATTCCCATTTCTCCTTTCTTTGTACTTTGGTCTCTCTACACCCCATCTCTCCTTTACTTGTACCCCCATCTTTTCTCCCTCTGTACCTCTGTGTCTCTTTTTCATAACCCCATCTTCCTGGTGTACCCCTATCTCTCTTTTCTGTCCTCAAATTTCTCCTTTGTACCCCATTCCTTCTCTGTGTACCTCCATATCTCCTCTATCCGTACCCTCATTCCTTATTACTCTGTACCCTCTCTTCCTCCTCTGTACATCAATGTATTCTCTATCTCTGTCCCCCCATATCAACTTTCTCTGTACCCCCATATGACCTCTCTCTGTCCCCCTATATCACCTTTCTCTGTCCCCCCATATCACCTATCTCTGTCCCCCCATATCACTTATCTCTGTCCCCCCCATATCACTTATCTCTGTCCCCCCCATATCACTTATCTCTGTCCCCCCCATATCACTTATCTCTGTCCCCCCCATATCACTTATCTCTGTCCCCCCCATATCACTTATCTCTGTCCCCCCCATATCACTTATCTCTGTCCCCCCCATATCACTTATCTCTGTCCCCCCCATATCACTTATCTCTGTCCCCCCCATATCACTTATCTCTGTCCCCCCCATATCACTTATCTCTGTCCCCCCCATATCACTTATCTCTGTCCCCCCCATATCACTTATCTCTGTCCCCCCCATATCACTTATCTCTGTCCCCCCCATATCACTTATCTCTGTCCCCCCCATATCACTTATCTCTGTCCCCCCCATATCACTTATCTCTGTCCCCCCCATATCACTTATCTCTGTCCCCCCCATATCACTTATCTCTGTCCCCCCCATATCACTTATCTCTGTCCCCCCCATATCACTTATCTCTGTCCCCCCCATATCACTTATCTCTGTCCCCCCCATATCACTTATCTCTGTCCCCCCCATATCACTTATCTCTGTCCCCCCCATATCACTTATCTCTGTCCCCCCCATATCACTTATCTCTGTCCCCCCCATATCACTTATCTCTGTCCCCCCCATATCACTTATCTCTGTCCCCCCCATATCACTTATCTCTGTCCCCCCCATATCACTTATCTCTGTCCCCCCCATATCACTTATCTCTGTCCCCCCCATATCACTTATCTCTGTCCCCCCCATATCACTTATCTCTGTCCCCCCCATATCACTTATCTCTGTCCCCCCCATATCACTTATCTCTGTCCCCCCCATATCACTTATCTCTGTCCCCCCCATATCACTTATCTCTGTCCCCCCCATATCACTTATCTCTGTCCCCCCCATATCACTTATCTCTGTCCCCCCCATATCACTTATCTCTGTCCCCCCATATCACCTCTCTCTGCCCCCCCATATTGTTTCTGTTTTTCCCTAGCTCTCTTTTTCTATCTTCCCATCTCTGCACCCCTATTACTTTCTTTGTAATAAAACCCCTTTTATTCCCAGGACCCCAATATTTCCCTCCCTCTATCTCCTTCTCTCTCTGCGTTCTCCACTTGTGTGTCCTCGGGTGTCAGTTATTTCCCCCTCTCTCATTCCAGTCGTAGTCTCTGCCGCCAGCATAGAAAACACTAAGTTCATCCTCCCGCAGCTCCGGCCTCCTCCAGCCTTCTCCTCGCTGCTCCGACCTCCTCCAGCCTTCTCCTCGCTGCTCCGACCTCCTCCAGCCTTCTCCTCGCTGCTCCGACCTCCTCCAGCCTTCTCCTCGCTGCTCCGACCTCCTCCAGCCTTCTCCTCGCTGCGCTCCACTCTGGGCATTCTTCCAGCAATCTCTGATACTACGATACTCCGATATGCCCCATTTCTGACCCTTTCTTTCCAAAATGTATTTCCCTGTCTTCCATAGACGCATCTAGCACATCGTACCCGTCACTATGCATCTGCCCCTAGTGTACTTCTTGCCTCTACATAATCTCATATCTTCTCTCTAGTGGTCTCCCCCTTCTCTCTCTCTCCCTCTCCCCCTCTCTCTCCTCTCTCCCCCTCTCTCCCCCCCACTCTCTCCCTCTCTCCTCTCTCTATTCTCTC